TTTTTCTTTAAGAAATTGTATGACATCTGCTTTACGCGTTGTATCCCATTGACGATGAGCAGCACGATAATATGCGTTGGCAAATGCCCATGGATTTCTTGTGTCATTCAGATAACCATCTTTATCTAGTTTATAAGTATTATTTAAAAATCCATCATAAATTGATTGTTGTCTTAATTCTCTTGATTGTTCAAAATCAAACTGTTGTTTTTTCTCAGCTTGTTGTTTTTGTTGTTCAGAGCTAATTGAAGTATAAATAGCAAGAGCTATGGGTATCGCGACTGAACTTATAATAGCTAATATATCTTTTAATGAAAAGTGCCAAAAAGAGCGTCTGTTAAAATCAACCATTGTCCCAATTTGATTTTAGAATAAAAAGTAAAATATTGTGATGTGCTTGAATATAAAGAAAACACAAATGCTATACTAATAACTAGTCTTCCTCTCTTTTTCTATTTCTCACTTATTTAACAACATATTAAGTAACAGTTATAATTATATTTTCAAAGTTAAATGTTAAAAAAGAAAATAAAAGAAATAATTAAGTGAATGTTCATTGCAGACACAACAATAATTAGAAAAACAGTTTCTTGTTACTTTCAGTATATTGAACATTGAATTTGATCTTGAATAACAAAAGTATATAAATACCGGTAAATCGTGATCGTTTGGAACGATGAAAGAAGAAGACTTATACTATTGATTTAAATATCGGAGATTTCTTCTTACGTCTACATACAATACAAAATAAAAAAACTTAATTAATTCTCCGAAATAATGGAAAATATATTTTGACAGTAACTGTGAAATGATCTGATCATATTCATTACAAAATTCTACAACAAAAAAAGAAAAGGAATGCTCTAGACTTGACGAATCATTTTTTTAGTCAAATGATATCTTTCATAGGAACAGTTTTTACAAAAAATCCTTGACATGAATAAGTTAGTAGAAACAGTTTTATAACTGACTCAAATTACTTAAATTTATGATTTATCAAAATTAAGAATATAATTACAAAAAAAAAGATATTTGTTATGTATGATAATAAAATGAAAAGAAGCCTAATCTTTTGCTTTTTTCATGATTTATTAGGTAATTTTAACTTGAGAAAATGCTGAAACATGTATATGAATTTTTATTAAGGATTCTACTTCTAGATACTCAATAGATAAACAGTAAATGAAAGAAAATACAAGCTACAAAAAAGAATCATAAAAGTTCGTCTTTTTAATAATTTGTTTGAAATTTTATGAAGATGCTTTGATGCTGTTGAGATAAGATCTCCATCCACCAAAATGTGTAATATCTTGTGCATCATTCACAGCCGATGGTTCTACTAAGAATCCCTTGACAATTTGACCATCATCGAGATGAATACTACCAATAGAAAGTGGTGATGGAATCATAGCAATAAAACTAGCTATCTTATCAGCAGGAACAGCCCAAATTTCGAGTTCAATTCCACGTCCTTCACTATTTTTCACATGTAGTAAACCAGGTTTGGCTGGTACACCATCTTTAAGTGCATAAAGCCGATATTCTTGATTGGTGCGACAAGTACGTATCAATCGAGCTTTTCGTTCTGTAAGTTGATAGTTAAGTGGTTGACCTGAAAGATGGGCACCAATAACAGCAATAAGAAAGCAATTTGAAGGCAAAATACGATTATCCATCGAAAGTAATTTTGGTGTATCTGCTAAGGAACGTGATGAACCACCAATATTAGTTGCAAGTGAACGATGTATACGATCTCCAAGTATTAAAAGAGCTGTATCTGTAAATGCATGACTTATTAGAGTAACACCAAATGGTAATCCATCTGGACGTATACCAGCAGGTATAGCAATTGCAGCGAGATCGAGTAGATTTACAAAGTTTGTATAATATCCAAGTTGACTGTTGTATTCGATAGGTGCTGCAGCAATTTCATCAAATGTAAATGCTCGAGGTGCAGTTGGTACCAACATAACATCAAATATTTCCCATAATTTATTCGTTTTTTTCTTTAATCTTTCAAGTTCATAAATAGCATTGAATGTGTCTACTGCTGTGTAATCTTTTGCGTTTGTGATAATAGTACGTACAGTTGGATCTATTTCTGTTAGATGTTGATCGACAAAACTACCAACAGCAGCGTAACGTTCAGCTACCCATGGGCCTTTGTATAGTAAACTGGCGACATTAAGAAATGGTGTAAGATCGAATTCAATTAATTCACCATTGAGATCATGACTGATTACGTTTATTGCTTTTTGAAAAAGAACAGGATTATGAATGTCGCGAAAGAATTCACGTGTATTAAGTGTTGGTATACCGATGCGAAAAGTTGGAGCAATAATCCATGGTGCTGCACCCGACGAATCTGATGGTATACGTGAATATGGATCGAATTCGTCGAATCCACGTGCTACGGATAGAATAATAGCGGCATCGGAAGCTGTTTCCGCAAAGATAGAAACACAATCAAGACTACGACAAGCAGGTACTACACCACGTGCGCTTAACAATCCACGAGTAGGTTTTAGTCCAATAATATTGTTGAACATTGCTGGTATACGACCAGATCCAGCTGTATCAGTTCCCAATGAAAATGTTACCTATTTAAATAAAAAAAATTACAACTAAAAGAACTACAATGTAAAAAATCTTTTGAAAGATATTTATTTCTAACTCTTATGTTATTGAATGCTCATCACTGTAAAACTAAAATATACTTACTAAACCACTTGCTACTGCTACTGCAGAACCTGAACTTGATCCACCAGAGATATAGTTTGTATTGAAAACGCTTGCACAGGCACCATATGGCGATCGTGTACCTACTAAACCTGTAGCAAATTGATCCATATTCGTTTTACCGATAAGAATTGCACCTGCTTGTTCGAGTTTCTCAACAAGTGGTGCATTTTCAGCTACTGGACCACAAGCAAATGCTGGACATCCGGCTGTAGTGGACAATGTAGCAACATCTATATTGTCTTTTACAGCGAATGGAATGCCATAAAGTGGAAGTTTAACACGTTCTTCGATCGTTATAAGAGATAATTGTTTTACTCGGGCTATTGCATTTTCACGTGGTATAATTGAAATCCATACAGGATTCAAGTCTTTACCTTCAATACGATCATAAATAGCAGTAATAGTAGTCAAAAGACCATTTGGATCGTTTGTATAAAGATTATGAAGAGTAGTAATATCCGGCATCAGAGAAAGAAATTGAATAATAATTTCTAGAAATACAATTGAATATTATACTTAACTTTTTAGAACAATAAATAGATTTTTATAGATATTAGATGACTCTGAAATTCTTAATTCAACGAAATACGCCTTTTTTGAGAATCTTAATTTTTAAAAAGAAACCATGCGTTTATTATTAGACGACCTCGAGAATATTAAGTTTATTTGAGTTAAAGAATTTAGGTATACTTAATAACTATTAAATGCATCTAGAGATCTACTCACACTTATAATAATATAATGAAACGATGTCTAAGAGCTGAATATATTCTTTCGTCAATATATTGTTTCGAATAGTATATCTAACGTTCATGACCGATAGATAATAGGTATATCTTCTCAAACATATATTCTCTCTTAATTTTCATTTTTTTTCTTTTTCTTCTTCTCTCACTTTATTTTTTGTTATCTCAATTTCTTTTCTTATATTGTAATTTTATGAACATGGACACTCGACTTTGTTGCACTTAATTTCATACATGCACTACATGTTTGATAAAACTTCGTTCGATATATATATGTATGTATTTTTTTTCTCTTTCTCTATTGTTCTGTATCACTATGTTGAACGTTCTCTCTTATATGAAGATGAATTGTATGTGTTATAACACATTCGGGAGATACAATATATTTCAATATACATCTATACTCAATGTAATGGTATGGTCATTACAAAAATAAGAGCAGTCAAGATATGAACTTTCTTACATTTAAACATGTAGACATAACCGACCAGATTAGAGCAAGTATAACAAGAGAACAATTCTTTTTTTTTTCATTTTAAAATATTTATATTAGATTACTGAACAGCTATTACCAACCGTATTTTTTTTCATATTGATGCATAATTATTTTTACTAGATTCCTTTTTTTGTTTTCGATTTTCTTAGTACATCGAATTCTCAATAGAGAAAAGTCAAGTAAACGTATTATTTTTAACTCTCGGTTAACGTCTTCATTTTATAATTTGAACAGTGTCCTTGGATCCGCGCGGACTCATCTCGTAAAAATTACAGAAAATGATGATTTTGCTTTACGTAAGGTACCTGTTTATGTATTATAAATTTCCAAATACTCTTCTCTCTACAGACTTATTTATCGCTTGTTATAGAGGCAATATAAGAACGCACGATGCGGAGAAAAAAAATTGACTCGTACTAGTTTTTATTAAAGCATAGTGAAAATTCAGGGATTTACAAAGAAAATGTGAGTTACTATTATGAGAGGTGAACGTGCAAACGAATCAGAACGTATTTAATTTGAAAATAAATCGATACGCAACAGATGGCAGTTATAGAAAAGCGAAAAATCATATCTAAACCATCATTAGTATCCTGGGGTCTGCGTGAACCCATATCCGCATTTTTTCTCTCTTAGATATGGGCATGATTTTTCATATGGATATTGTACATCTACTAATGACTAGAAATTACATAAAACAAATGACTTGAAACAGTAAATAGTTATGTAGTGCGAGATGAAAATCTGTAAAGTGGGCCCAAGCGGACCCCACAACAGCAACCGAGGGTTAATAGTTATTATTCTTATATTCTACTCATCTATTTCTTTCCTAAATATATTAAATGTAGTTTATATCTATTGTAGATAATATATGGAAAACTCTATGGATACTTCCTTTGCTTCCAATGCATCGATGTTTAAATCTGTACTCATTGCAAATCGAGGTGAGATTGCAGTACGTATCGCTCGCACTTTAAAAAAAATGGGTATTCGAAGTGTTGCAATTTATTCTGGAGCTGATCGTAATTCTCAACATGTAATTGCAGCTGATCATGCTGTTGAACTTAAAGGAAATACATCTGAAGAAACGTATCTTTCTGGTGATTTAATTATTGCAACAGCAAAATCACAAAATGTTCAAGCAATTATTCCTGGTTATGGTTTTTTATCTGAAAATGCTGATTTTGCTATACAATGTGAAGCAGCTGGTCTTATTTACATCGGTCCTACACCAGAACAAATCCGTCAATTTGGACTTAAACATATTGCTTATGAACTGGCAGCTTCTGCTAAGCTACCACTTTTACCTCATTCAGGTCTATTAACTGATATTGAAGATGTCAAGTTACAAGCACGTTCTATTGGTTATCCAGTTATGTTAAAAAGTACAGCAGGATCAGGTGGTCATGGAATATTACGATGCTCGGACGAAAATGAACTAATGGACGCATGCGAAAAAGTACGTCGTTTAGCTTCTAAATTCTTTAAAAATACTGGTATCTATCTGGAACGTTGTATCGATGATGCCCGACATATTGAAGTACAAATGTTTGGTGATGGTCATGGTCATGTAATAACACTTGGTGAACGAGACTGTTCTCTACAACGTCGTAATCAAAAAATTGTTGAAGAAACACCAGCGCCTAATTTAACAAATGATGTACGTTCTCGTCTTCACGATGCAGCTCTTCGATTAGGTACTTTAGCAAAATATCGATCAGCAGGTACTATTGAATTCGTATACGATCGTACAAGTCAAGAATTCTACTTTCTTGAAGTAAATTGTCGTTTACAGGTAATTAAAAGATTTACCTATCTTCATTGATGTTAATAATAAGTTTTATTTCAAATATTGTTTTTTGTTCTAGGTGGAACATCCAATAACCGAAGCTATTTTTGATATTGATCTTGTTGAATGGATGGTAAGTTTGGCTGCTGGACATCCACCAAAAGCTCTTTACAATGTACCAACATCTCGAGGTGCAGCAATCGAAGTACGACTTTGTAGTGAAGAACCTGTACATGATTTTCGTCCTTCGTCTGGTACACTTCATGAAGTATTATTTCCAAGCAATGTACGTGTCGATACTTGGATTACGAATGGTACAGAAGTATCACCTTATTATGATTCTTTATTAGCTAAAGTCATAGTACATGGTAATAATCGTAAAGAAGCTATCGAACGTATGCAACGTGCTTTAGAACATACTCGCTTAATTGGTATTAGTACTAATCTGGATTTTCTTCGTCATGTTATTGGTTCATCATTTGTTACTAGTGGTAATTTATCTACTAAGGTTTTAACGGACTATTTTAAATATCGACCGAACGCCATAGAAATATTAAAACCAGGAACGTATACAACTATTCAAGATTATCCTGGTCGTGTCAAATTTTGGGATGTAGGTGTACCACCATCTGGTCCCATGGATAGTTACGCATTTCGTTTAGCTAATCGTTTAGTTGGTAATACTGAAGATGCTGCCGGACTCGAATGTACATTAGACGGACCATTTTTATACTTTCATACTTCTAGTACCATTGCTATTACAGGTGCTACAATGAATGCAACGCTCAATAATACACCTGTTGATCTATGGAAGCCAATACTCGTACAAGCTGGACAAACATTAAAACTAGGACATGTCGCATCTGGTTGTCGTACGTACATTGCTGTTCGTGGTGGTTTCGATGTACCGTCGTATCTCGGCAGTCGTTCTACTTTCGTTCTTGGACAATTTGGTGGTTATGCTGGTCGAACTTTAACATCAGGTGATATGTTATTCATTGGTAAATGTATTAGTAATCAAATTCCATCAACTGTATCAAATACTATTATACCTCAGTATCCAGTCGAAGGTGAAGAATGGCAAGTTGGTGTGTTATACGGACCACATGGAGCTCCTGATTTCTTTGCATCTGATTATATTGAAAAATTCTTTAGTACTACGTGGCAAGCTCATTACAATTTAAATCGTTTAGGTGTTCGTTTATTAGGACCAAAACCAAGTTGGACTAGAACAGATGGTGGTGAAGCTGGTCTTCATCCTTCAAACATTCATGATTGTGAATATGCTGTAGGTAGTATCAACTTTACTGGAGATACACCAATTATTCTCTGTCAAGATGGACCAAGTTTAGGTGGATTCGTTTGTTTAGTTACCATTGCTAAAGCAGAACTTTGGAAAATTGGTCAAGTTAAACCTAACGATCGAATTCGTTTTTATCCAATTACTTTCGATCAAGCTTTACCATTGGAACGTGATCAAGATACTTTAATAAATACATTGACAAAATCAGTTTCTACTATACCATTACCATTATTATCTTCATCACCAATCGAATCATTACAATGTATACTTACTGAACTACCTGCAACAGCTACACGACCATCTGTAATCTATCGACAAGCAGGTGATCATTATATTCTCATTGAATATGGTCCAATGCATCTTGATTTATGTTATCGATTTCGTGTACATCTACTTATGGAAGAACTACACGATCATCATCCAGTCGAAGGTATATTAGAATTAGCACCTGGTGTACGTTCACTTCAAATTAGATATGATAGTCGAATAATTCATCAAAAACAATTACTTACTGCATTACTGACTGCTGAAGATCATTTGCCAACGGATGAAAATACTATACGAGTAAAAAGTCGCATTGTATATTTACCATTAGCTTTCGAAGATTCAGCTACACTTGATGCTGTAAAACGTTATCGAGAAACGGTAAAAGAATCAGCACCATGGTTACCAAATAATGTTGATTTTATTCAACGTATCAATGGACTTTCATCTCGAGATGACGTACGAAAAACTATTTTCGATGCATCATATCTAATACTTGGTCTTGGTGATGTTTATCTTGGTGCGCCTTGTGCAGTACCTATCGATCCACGTCATCGATTAAATACTTCGAAATATAATCCAGCACGCACATTTACAGCTGAAGGTACTGTAGGCATCGGTGGTGTTTATATGTGTATCTATGGTATGGATTCGCCAGGTGGATATCAACTTATTGGTCGTACATTACCTATTTGGAATACGTTTACTCGTAATACTGCATTCAAAGATGGTAAACCATGGCTTCTTCGATTTTTCGATCAAGTTCGTTATTATCCTGTGGATGAAGCAGAACTTACTATACAACGTCAAGCATTTCGTGAGGGACGTTTAAATATACGTATTGTGGAAGATAATGAATTTAATTTAGGTGAATACAAGGCTTTTCTTAAACGTGAATCAGAAAGTATTACAAATTTTACTACAAAACAGGCTACTGCATATGCTGAAGAAGTATCATATTGGCAGAATGATACTAATGATATAAATGAATCCTCAAAGAATGATAATGAAATAAAAGAAATACGATCAGATTCCGGTCCGGAAGTAACTATTTGTGCAGATATTTGTGGTAGCGTATGGAAAATACTTGTAGAACAAGGTCAAATAGTTGAAGAAAATGCACCCGTTATTATACTTGAAGCAATGAAGATGGAATTAACTATTCGATCTCCAATTACTTGCAAAATTTCTTCGATATTATGTAATGTTGGTCAATTAGTAAATGCCAAGGATGTTCTTCTAGAAATTGAAGCTGTTTAGTTATAACTTTGAAATGAACTTTATTATTTATCATTTAGTTCCTTATTTATTGTAAATTTTTTGTTATGTAGACTAACTTTTATACAACATTTATCTAAGGATAGGTAGATAGAAGTAAATGTTGGTAGTATATTTATCTGTCATATTGTTGTTGATGTTTAATAAAGAAAATTCTAGTGATAATTATATAGAAACATTCATCTTTCTTTTAAATTGGAAGTTGTTAAATATTGAAACTATACTCGCTCTCGACTATACTGCAAGTTATTCTTTCATCCTTATGTTTTCAAAACTTATTTGTAAACAAATGAATGCTCAGTGAACAATCAAATATCTATGAAGGAATATTGTGAAAATAAATTCATTCTTATTATTACTGTTTGCAAAGCGAAAAACAAGAGAGAACTAGCCCTTTGATATTGATAAATATTATCGAAGTGTTTGAATTTCATGTACAGTTTGATATGGATGCGAAAAATTAACTTTATCGACTCTTTTGTACACAATGTCAATCACTCCTTGAAGTTTTTTTTAGGAGTACCATGAGTTGCAAGTTGATAAAACATACGTCCACGTAGTTCATTTACACACTCAACTTTAACTCTGGCGAGTGATTAAATATACCAAGAAGAAAGTAAAATGTCAATAATCATACAACTCTAATAACATTTGTTTGTTTGATTGTCAACATACTTTTTTTTTGTTAACTTTTCTTGTTCTCTATATTTGCATCTTTATATGAAATCAGACAAATATACAATCTTTCTTTTTAGAAGCGATTACAAATGAAGAGAAACTGTATGGTTACTTTTCATCATGAAAATTAATTAAAATGATCTAATTAAATATTGATTGATAAAACAAAATACTATTTATTTGACGTGATGACTTCTTCATTTGCTTTATATGTAAAAATTTCTTAAAAAATAGTTCTGTCAATATTTACAGATACAAAAAAATTTTGATTAATAAAAAAAAATACTATTTATTTGACGTGATGTCTTCTTTATTTGGTTCACGTGTAAAAAATAAGACGACAAAAAATTTTAGTAATAAATTTTGATGTTAATGACTCTATTATAACCAATTGTCTTGAATAGTGATCTAATTTAATATATAAATAAAAATTCTCTAAAAATACAAGTCACAAATTAGGAATAATATTTATAAATCAAGTATTTTATTTTATATGATACGGTTTACATATAAATAATCATTATAAGAATTGTCAGATAAATCTAAGTAGGTGTCAACCCAGGGAGCCGGTTGTTGCATTATCATGTAATGCATTATAATGGTAGTAATTACATGATAATGTAACGACTGGCTACATAGGGAGAAACACTAAAAGAAATTGAGAAAATGGTAAATATTTTTCCGCCTTAATTAATATAATAAAGATTGACAGATCTATTTACGAAAAAAGACACTCAACACACATCGTAATCGAAACAAATCAAGTTCGATTAGACTAATAGTACCGATTTGAATTCGAAGATATCGAAACTTAAGACAATAATATTAGATACGACAATACAAAAAATTGAATTTCTTCTTGTCTCCAGTTTGAAAGAGACAGAGATAGACCTTTAAAAAATTGACATCTAGTATATAGTTTATTCATCAAAACAATCTATCTAGGAAATGACCTATGACTCTGAACTTCCTAAATATACTACTCATTCCTTTAATTAATAGTCAATAATATTTCTTTCTGAATGTTTGAACTTTTGACTAGTTATCTTTCCAAGATAACTGTATCTGCATTTATTGTGTATTTGTTCGTCTACCATTGTTTAATTATTCTACGAAAGAAAAGCATAAACATTCTTCTATTTGTCACTTCTTTATTTTGTATTAAACGTCAAGTGTATACACTTTGATACACTTGGCATATGAAAACAAGATGTACACATACACTTGGCTAAGAAAAATAGAATGTACATATACATTTTATTTTAGATTTCTATTAGAAACCCTGAACCCAATCAATATCTTAATGATCGATGTTTTTTATCTGATATCAACATAACTACTTTTTTAAAGAATTTGTGTTTGAAAAAAAGAATTAAATATAAAAAGGAAAATAGTTTTTCATTGATAGTAAATTCAATAACGGAATCATATTTTCTAAATCTTCAATATCCCAAAATTATATGTCCATGTCTATTTATTAATATTGTATTTCAAAAAGAGTTTTATCAATTATTTTAAATACAAAATAAAATATGAGAATAAATTCTTTTTTAATATTTCATTTATTAAATCTTCAAATTGAACAAATGATATTCGGCGAGGATGAAGGTGTTTTGTTTCATTAATGACCCTCACCCTTAAATTTGAGGTGTATTTGTAGGTTCTCACCAACATAAACTCAAAAGTTAAAAAATTCGAATCAACACAACTCTTTGATTATTACATGTATACTATTATACAGATTAAATAAATAAGAGAATCCTATTTTCAATTTCACCAATCTATATTATGTATAGTTTCTTTTTTTGTTGATGAAGAACTATTGTGTCAAATTATTAGTTTGCAATTTCATCATATGATGCCATTGAAATTATACTGTGCTAATTAAAAAACAAAGAAGACTTTGAAGATTTTCTAATAACTAGTTTTTGATAACCAGTGACAACTATCGCATGTCAGAAAATCATATACAGATCAGACGGGTATAGTATGGATAATTGAAATCGATGTATGGTTGCTCTAACTTGTACTCACTAAATATATTTACCTATTTCTCTCTTTCTTTCTTTCTTTCTTTCCATGTATTTGCCAAAAAGGGTTGAGGATTAAAAAAATGTATTTACGGAATAAAGAACGATACAATAAAACAAAGTATAGATAAGTAGAATATTATATTATCGACGTGCACTACCTCATATAGCTTATTGCTTCTAAATAACAAAAAAATAATGGCTGAGAATAACAATAAAAGTACGGAATTGAATAAAATTCAAGTACGTCATCCATTAGAACCATTATCGCTTGCAGAAATTGAACTTGCTGTTGAAGTATTAAAAAAACAAAGTGATAAAGTAACTCCAACAACACGGTTTGTATCCGTTACTCTATATGAACCACCAAAAGAAAAAGTACTTAATCTATCAAATGAAATAATATCACGTGAAGCTGATGTAGTACTTTTTGATAATGGTACAAATTTATGTTATGAAGCACGTATTTTACTTGAAAATGAAGGTCAAATTGTATCATTTGAACATATACCTAATGTTCAACCGGCAATGACAGTTGATGAACAAGTTGAATGTGAACAAGCTGTACTTCGTTCAACTCAATTTCAAGAACTCATACGTGAACATTATGGAATTGAAGATGTCAATCGAGTTATGGTTGATATATGGTCAGGTGGATATTATGGACAAGAAGAAGAACGTTCACGTCGTTTAGCAAGACCTCTATGTTTCGTACGATCTGATCCAACTGATAATGGTTATACACATCCTATTGAAGGTTTAAGACCTGTTGTAGATCTTAATACAAGTAAGATAAAAAAATTCAATTTATTTTAATTTAATTCTTTGAATTTCATAGTGGAAGTTATTCGTATTGAGATCTATAATCATTATCCTATTCCTTATGTTAATTGTAATTATTCATCGGATCATACGATAAAACTTCGTGAAGATGTTCGACCATTAGAAATTGTTCAACCTGAAGGTCCAAGTTTTCAAGTTAATGGTAATCAAGTATCATGGCAAAAATGGTCATTTGTTATTGGTTTTACTATGCGTCAAGGTTTAGTTCTTCATCATATAACATATGATAATCGTTCGGTTTTATATCGTGCTGCATTAACGGAAATGGTTGTCCCCTACGGTGATCCAGCTGAACAACAAGCACGCAAAAATGCATTTGATTGTGGTGAATATGGTTTAGGTTCCTGTACGAATAGTTTAGAACTTGGTTGTGATTGTCTTGGTCTTATTAAATATTTCGATGCAAATATGTGTACAAGTCGAGGTGAATTATTAGTTATTAAAAATGCAATTTGTTTACATGAAGAAGATGTTGGAATTTTATGGAAACATACAGATAGACGATTAAATAATCCGGAAGTAATTAAATAATTTCTTTTTTTGTTTCTTACATGTTATTTTTTTTCCTTTGTTTAGGTACGACGAAGTAGAAGATTAGTTATTTCAAGTATTGCAACTATTGAAAATTATGAATATGGTTTCTATTGGTAATAATATTCTTTTCTTTCCACAATATGATTTTTAATTTAATGAAGAGGAAAATAATCTAAGCAGCTTTCAATATAGTTAAAGGCATTGTTAATAAGACAGACAATTCTATTTGTGATCATAAGAAGAAAAAAAATCCCGTAAAATATTATTAACGGCAATGCACATGCCCCTTATATTTCTCTTAACATGTAATATGATGATAGATCTATTGTCTAATTAGTTTTCAAAGGCATGAGAGATTAGTATGCAAGAAAAAAAAAGAACGAACTGTAATATCTTGTTTTTACAATGATAATTCTGCAAATACATCAAATAATACTTATGAATTATTAATAAATATAATTTATTCAGATACCGAGATCTCTAACCTTATCATATACATTTTTTTTTTCATTGAAAAAATATATATTTTTAATCGTTATTCCTATGAGACTTATATTAAAAAAAAAATTTTTTTATTTTCTTAATAGGTATTTATATCAAGATGCTAGTATACATTTTGAAGCTAAAATGACTGGTATACTTTCATTAGGTGCCGTACCACCAGAGAAAAAATCTCGATATGGTTCATTAATAGCTCCGCAATTACTTGCACCATATCATCAACATTTTTTTAATATGCGTCTTGATTTAGCGATTGATGGAATAAATAATACAGCTTATATGATTGATGTCGAAGCTGATCCCGATGATGCTGATTATAATCAATTTCATAATGCATTTCATATTAATAAAATTCGACTTGATACAGAAAAACAAGCAAGAAATAATTTATGTTTAGAAAAATCTCGTTCATGGACATTTGAAAATAATTCAATTAAAAATGCAATTGGTGAACCAACTGGTTATAAATTATATCCGGGTGATAATGCTATTCCATTTAGTTCATCAAAAGCTTGGTGGCGTAAACGTGCTAGTTTTGTTAATTATCATGTATGGGTAACACCATTTAATGAAAAGGAAATGTTCGGCTCAGGAAATTATCCAAATCAAAGTCAACATGATACTGGTTTATTAAAATATACGGAACAAGATCGTTCAATTGTTGATAAAGACATTGTTCTTTGGTATACATTTGGTATAACACATATTCCGAGACAAGAAGATTTTCCTGTTATGCCTGTTGTAACAGCAGGATTTGCTCTTAAACCAAATGGTTTCTTTGATATTAATCCAGCGAATGATATTCCAAAAGCTATTAAAAAAACGAATGATGAATGTTGTCAAAACATAAAATAATTTGATTTTTTTTTGAGCGGCTTTTTTTTTCCTTTGTTATAAATTTATTTATTTATTTATTTATGCTCTTTTACGGGAAAAAAACCGATTCAGAATAAAAATTTGATTATGTCAATAACGATAAAAACAGTAAATTTCTCTTTTCTTTTTTTCTTGGTCTTAATCGTTTGATTTGTTGTGTGTCAGATTGATAGAACGCTTGCGATTGATATATATATATAAGAGCCAAGAGAAAAGAAGAGGAGAGAAGAGAAGAGAGAAAGAGGCAGAGAACTCTTTTTTTTTTATCGGAGGGAAAGTAGTGAGCACAAGGAAAAAGAGTGAGGAGTAAATAAAAAACGCTAACATAGAACGTGGTGCGATAGAGCTTGTAGGCACTAACGTATAGAACACGCAAGAAAAAAAATGACTGATTTTTCTCTTTGACAAACTTCGCAGATATGTCTATAATAGCAAGAGAAAAGACATAGTTATAAAAAAGCACGCATTTATTCTTCTATCGAGTCCTATATGAATTAACACACGTTCATCTATATCAATCAATGACATTGATTCAAAACTGTCTTCTGTTATTTGTTATATATACCGAATATATCGATACACAACCATCGAACGTTCAAGATATTCCTAATGTATCGTTTACATCTACACCTAATTTATCACCAACGTATGTTAAAATTAGATTTCTTTAGAAAAAGTATCAAAGCATTCTTTTTTTTTTATTTTTTTATTCCCAATAGTATTTCAATAATATCAACAAAAACAAATCAATACTTGCGTGATCAGTTAGTTCACTTCACTGAACAATTTTCTTCATTAACATTACCTAGCACAGACCGAATAATGCATGAAGTTTATATGCAATCATTAAATACATTTATTATTGAAAAACAAAATTTATCTCAACTTGTTCAAGAAATGGCAAACTATACAAATCTTGCAATTATGAAAAAATTAGAAGCTATTAGAAATTTAGTTAATATCAGTGAACAATCATATAGAAGATTTGCTGAAACAGATGAAGCAACACGAAATGCTACTGCAAAATTCATGGAAGTTAGTTAGTTATTTTATTTATCTCGTATATTTTTTTTTGCTCTTTTAGACATATGGTTATCTTAGTTCAAAACATGTCAATGTTACGATCGATAATATAAGTGATAATGCGTCATTAACTCTAGCAACACAAATGACAACACAAAGTCATTTATTATTAACAGCAACATCAGAAGAATTCTCTACTCAAGAACCGTACTCAACAACTACAATTATTAAAGAAGACATATCGGAAGGTGAAAGTCAATCATTAAGTGAAGTGGACACGGAATATCTGTAAATTTAATTATTCTAATTTTTATTAGATTTAAATTTATCTTCTTTTTTTTCACATAGAGCATTACAAAAACAATTATATATTCAACAAAAAAAACATTTCGGTGGAGCTTTTGTTAATATAACACATAGTACAGTACATGTTCCAACAATCATTTATAATTTAAGTAAATAAAGAAAAACTAATTGTATCAATTTAATAATTAATTCATTCTTTTTTTGTTTTTAAGATAAAGAAATTCTTTTAACTGCTAATTGGTCTTATAATTTAAATCAAGCATTTATTGATAATTATAATCAAGATCCCGAATTAACATGGCAATATTTTTGTAGTCAAACAGGTCTTTATCGTGTATGGCCAGGTCATAAATGGGAATATCCAGAAGATGATATAGATGAATTAGATTTATTTGACTGTCGTGTACAAAATTGGTATATTCGAGCAACATCATCACCACGTGATGTTATTATTTTAATTGATGCAAGTGGTTCAATGACTGGTTTAAAACGATCTATTGCTATACAAACAGTTGAAACAATACTTGATACTTTATCTGATGATGATTTTGTACAAATTCTTAAAGTAAAAAAAAAAGAATATTGTTTAATTTCTGTTACAAATATATTCTATGATATTTTAGTTTAATGACAGTGTATATTTTATTGATGATTGTTTTCGAGATGGACTTGTTCAAGCAACAGTAGAAAATCGACATGTAAATAAAACAAAAATATTTGATTGATTTATTAAAATAATCTTATTTTCAATATAGCGATTTCGAACAGCAGTAAATGTGAATCTTACAACAGATAATATTGCAAATTTTTCAGTAGCATTAAATAAGGCATTTGATCTATTAGACAACGCACGAGTACAAATATCACGTACTGAAAATGCAAGATTACTATGTCAATGTCATTATTTGACAACAGATGATCAATCGGAAGAACAAAAGCAAGCATTTTGTCCGTCAGATTTCAATGGTTTTTATTGACAAAACGGAAATGACATTTTTTTTTTCTATATATTTTTTTATTATTTTAGCAACTGGGTTTCGTGAGGATGAAAATCCATTTTTAGATAGTACGGGATGTAATAAAATGATAATGATTGTTACTGATGGTGCTACAGAAACGGCTTTAAATGTTTTTCAAACAAGAAATTGGCAACCAAATAATAATTCAACATGCCACCCAATTGAAGTAAAAATAAAAAAAATAAAAATCTTTTGATACAATTTTTATATTTTGCAGACTCGAGTATTTACATATATGATTGGAAGAGAATTAGGTGATCCAAAACATATTCGATGGATGTCTTGTGCAAATAAAGGTAAAATAAATTAGACATAATCAATACATTTTTATGGATTATAAATTTTTTTTTGATAGGTTATTTTGCACATGTATCAACATTAGAAGATATTCAAGAGAATGTTGAAGATTACATTCCAGTAACAGCACGTCCAATAGCAATGCATAATGATCATGTAACTGTTTGGAGTAGTGTTTTTCTTGATGTTGAAAGAACATTACCAATTAAAACATATAAATGGTTTCCATTTAAATTGCATGATTTATCTATGTCAATGGATGAATTTAAAAATAAATCCAAAGTAAAAAAGAGAAAAATAATTCATCAATAGAATATATATATTTTTTGCTTTAAAAGCCTGTTAATTTAATGATTTCAATTGCTCAACCTGTTCTTAATCCACCAAAACTTGTAAGTAGAATAAGAAAAATATGATAAATTATATCATGCTATCGTAATAGGGACATGATGATACAATTCTATTGGGTGCTGTTGGTGTTGATATTCCTGTTAAACTTATACAAGAATTTTCACCGAAATATCGAGTAAATATATTTTAATTTTTTTTTTTCTTGAAAATTACTCTTTTTGCTTCAGTTGGGTGTGCATGGTTATTCATTTATGATTAATCACAATGGTTATCTTATGTTTCATCCTGATTTACGACCTGTGGTATGTCATATTTATATTATCTTATTAGAAAATTTAAATATTTAATTTCATTTTAGTTAGGTCCATATCGTAAACAAAATTATCATTCAATTGATTTGGATATGGTAGAAATACCTGATAATCTATTGAGATTTGTACACGTAAGAAATAATTGATTATTTAATAGATAAATTATCTTGTTTTTCTATAGCCTTTACCGGAAAGTAATATTCAAGAAGTAAGATCTGTTATTAAAATAGTGACTAATAATAATTCTTGTTTTGTGTTATAGATACGAAAAGATATGATTTTATCGAATCACAATCAACGTTCGGCAAGAGTAAAAAAACATTTAGATGATATGGTAAAATAAAATTCTAGATTGAAAATATCATTTTGTTTTGTTTCTCTTTTAGAGACGAATAGAAATAGTTGAACAAAATTATTATTATGCAACATTAGGAGATAAAGAATCAAATCCATTTAGGTATATATGGCTGAAAATACAAAACGTTTTATTCATAAATATTTTTATAGTTTGGGTATTGCTGTACGTTTTCCATATGGTGAATTTCTTGTTCGAACAACTGAACCTGAAACAGAAAAAGTTCAAACAGGTTTGTATAGGTCTATCTTATATTTTATTTGCTCCAAATTTGGAGTTTACGGATATCTAAGTTTTCGCGAAAAACTCTACTTGAAAACTGTCATCATCTGTTTCTGATTGCTCTAATAGATACTCTCGATTGTACTGAGTCGACTGATGATGCTCAAGAAAATAAATGTGGAAACTTCGGATTTTATTCGAGAGTTATGTGTACTGCAAAAAGTGCATATGGAAATCATAGGGAAATATTAGTATTTTTGCAATAACTCGGGAATAGCCCCGCCAATTAGGTTCATCTTCGAACTCGACCGAGATCTTGATGAGACTGAATTGTGTAGAAAGTTTCATCAAAATCTGCCTCTCCTTTCGAAAGTTATCGTATAAACGGACGGACGGACACACTGATTGATTCTAGTGCTATACTCACTTTTTGAGTACACAAAAAGCACATAGTTACAAGCTATAATTTGTTGAAAGACTTGAAACTCGTATACTTCAAATTTAGAGCTCACTTAATTTGACCCTTTTTTTCTTATTATTCAGAGTATTGGATACTTCAAATCTATACAAAAGAGAGAGAGAGAATAGTTTTTCATAAGAGATTTTTATTATAATTTCTTTGTTATATTTTCAAAAAATTAGAATATATTTGAATTTCAAATTATTATAGATATATATATGATTATATTCACAGTCACGCATATTTAAATATACACTCTTAAAATTCATCTACAATTAAATTCCCAAATGGCATGCCTATTGCACTCGTTGTTAGTCGATTAAGAACGTCTCATGTGTCTGCATTTCTACAGGAAATAGTTTTTATGTAAATAAAGAATGATTTTCAGTCGACTATACTTATATGAACGTTGAACACTTACGAGATTATTCTGAACGGGTATATTACATCAGCAGTCTAAGTGCATAAGAAAGAAGAAGAAGGAAAAAAAATCTTGCGTTCTGTATTCAAATAATATGCAATGAAAATGATTGATCAAATTTCTGATAGACTTGGCATAGTTATATAGACTAATATAATATAAGATTGTTCATTAAGATATTCTTTTGCTGTCAATAGATAAGATGTGTCTTATTTGTGAAAAGATGAGATTTTGATTATTATGATTTATATATTTACATCGGAGATAATACTATGGTGTTTCAACTGTAATCTTAGAAGAATAATCTTTATCGTTGTTTAGTACTGATAAGATTGTATTTAAAATTTTGACTTTAGAAAATAAAATAGACAACTGCAATGTAATGTTTTATTATTGTAAATTAATCATATTAGTTTCACTTACGATTGTATTTCATATCTTAGATGATGATAATAATATCGTATTAGATAAATAAATATATTTAATTATATATATATATAGATTTTTATTAGAAAAATCGTCAAACAAAATTGATTTAAAATTATATGTAAACGATAGTTGTCACACGCACGATACAAAATACTAAGCATAGACTAATAAATCCTCATATTGGGTTATTACTATTATAATAGATCTCAGAGTAATATTTAATAATAGTAATAAACGGATATGAAGATTTTTTTTAATATATATATTACACTCTTATGTCTTTACAATAAAGAGTCGTAGATCGTGACACATAATTAATGTTGTAAAACATTCTATAGTTTAACAGCATCTTGTTTTTCTCAATGAACACTATTTTTCGTAGTTCACCATTATGATAATTTTCACTTGTTGTTTTTTTAATATAATGCACAAGTTAGTGCATTTATAGCAAACACGTTTGTTTAGTTAATAAAAAGAAACATTAAATACTTGCAAATGCACTGTTGATATTGAATTAAATAGAAATCTAAAATGATTACCGTTTCACACATGAGATATTATTGAATTCTATATGATCTTATTAGAATACAATAACATCCTGTATAGTTTTGTAAATATCCGGTTGATAGAATTGCTCAATTATTCAAGATGAGAATTTATATGATTTCCGGTTAAATTTAACCCTAGAAATTTGATAGTAATATTATCAACCGAATTCAATCACCTAGAATTTTATTTCACACAATTGTATTTTAATACTGATGCTCACCAACATGCTAGTTTTGTATTAATAAATCATTAAAATTCATATTTATTCATAGCACTTCGTTTTATTCTTCAACGAAATGTTCGTATTGCTGATTGGATATACTGTAATTTAACAGCTGAAGATGATATTGGTGATACTGAAGAATCATTTCGTGGTTATCTTAAAGAAAAAATTGAAAAAGGAAAGATTAAATCATGTAAGTATTTATTCTTTAAACATATGACTTTGTCTTATTACAAAATTATTTTTAGGTCCATATCAAGCAAGTAAACAATTAATTTTTATGATGATTGAAGAATTATTTATAATGAGTAAATTTGAAAATTGGACAAAAACTGGTTCAATAGATCGTAATCATCAAACACCATTAGAAAAATCTGCTCATTCGGATTTTAAAGCGTATGAACATGAAAATCATTTACATTGGATATTTTTAGCAACACGTTCAGGTATAACTGCTTATTGGAGATTATCTCATTTAGCTAATGAAGAACATATACGGTAAGAAATATATATATATGCAAAGAGAAAATTTTATTCAAAATAATTTTTTCTAGACAATTTGGTGATGCAAATCCAAATTCAATTGAATCAAATTATTATGAACGAACAATAAGTGCAACTTATTCTTATAATGCTGATCATATTCATGGTAAACATCATATATATTCACTATTTTATGGAATGACAAATGTACCAGCTACAAATTCACGTATAGTCCTTTTATTTTAAAAAAATGACCTTTTCGTTTTTCTTCCTTTAGAAATGCTTTATGAAAATCATACAAATACAACAGGTATTTTATTGTAATTATTCATGAATATTTCTTAATTTTGTTTTTTTTTCTTATAGAAGGAAATTTCGGATCATCAACATCATCACAAATGTATTTAGTTATAACAACAGCAATTTGGATGAATAAAACATCTGATCGACCAAATAATACTCCAAATGTTCCATTTGGAGTTTTTGGAGTTATGTTACCATATAAAACTGTTCGTTCAACACATTTTTCAAATCTTTGTGTATTTATTTCAATACATATGTATATATTTAATTTGATGAAAATGAATTCTTTTTAGGCTGAATTAGATACAGGTGTATGTTATATTATTGATGAAAATGGATATATTATGTTTATAGGTCAACAACAAGGAATTGATCGAACTGTATGTTAAAAAATAAATTATATTCATAAGATGCTTAATAATAAATTTTAGGATGATATTGGAAAATTTTTAGGTGAATTTGAAGGTGCAGTTATGCAAGATCTTATAGCAAAAAAAATTTTTTCAGAGTAAGTATTTGATAACTTAGTTCCTGTTTTTCTATACTTTTCATACATAATCTGGCTACCACCCACACCCTAAAATACGATCCATCTCATGCTGATTTAATATCAGTGGCTGATATAGCTATTCGGCGACCGCCAACCCCTCGAAAATAGATACTTCGACAAATACTGAAAACAGTTAAAACACTATAGGTTTCTGTTCTAAAAAATAATAGTACTTTTCACTTTTTTTCGTAAACCGCCACCCCCTCATGAAAATTCTAGATCCGTCCCTGTTTAATATATAACTGAATTAATAACTTATCATATTAGGACATAATTGAGTCATATCCGACAAACTCAAACTCACCGAATATTTATAATTAATTTAAACAATATAACATAATCTTTGTTTTTTTTAGAGAAAAAATGGTCGATTTTCAAGGTGTTTGTTTACAGCGTCAATTACGAACGGAAAAAAGCTCCGGTTATCTTTTTCGCGGTGTATGTTTAATGGAAAAAAATTATTTAAATTTTTGTTGTATTATTTCCGTTTTTTAGATTATTCAAACTATAGTGGCTATGATCTGGAATATTATTAGTCATATAGCAATGTATAAATATCATAGAATGTTTTTTTTATTTTATTTCTTGTTTACTATCATTTAGGTTTCCTGTTCGTGATATACTCTTTTTTCCTCAATGGACTTATGCAGGAAAAAAAGTAACTGCTCCTAATAAAACTACTGTTCCAGAAAGTCTTAGTAATATTCTTTTAACACATATTGATTTTCGACGACCAATATTAGATAATAAACGATTAAATAAAAGAAAAGAAGATGAAACTATTGGAAAAATTCCTGCATCATGTATTGAAGAATTTAATTTATATGTATCAACATGGAAAGGATGGCATGGATCATTACCATCAAAAGATAATAAAATAACATGGGAACAAGTTGAACAAAATAATACAATACGTGGAATAGTTAGTTGTACACAATATGGAAAAGAAATAATAGAATCTTCCTATGACAATGAAACCAATAGTTCAACAACAGTACCGACAATAATTTTCGCTGAATCATTTAGGTATAAATATATACAAAAAAATACGATCATTTTATTATTTATCTTTTAGCTATTCAATATCAAAAATTCCAAAAAGTAATTTAATGTTATTATATGTAAATCATTCCAAAGAAGCGCCAATATTATGTCCAAAATTAATAATTAAACGTAAACCAGTTGAATTTAGTAAAGAAGAATGGTGTACACGTTTAAAAACTACACCATATCGTGAACGACCACATAAATGTTTTTTTGTACATGAAGAAGAAAAGACACCATTATTTACTAAATGTTCATATGCAAATCAATTAACTTATCGATATTCATTTATTATATCGTTTGTAATTCTAATTAAGATATTTATATGGCAAGAAACAAAAAATCAATAATATTTTGCTAGTCCGACGATGATAAGCCGGTTGTTGTATTACACTTCAAAAATATATGCATTTCCCTTTTGATAGATTTCCCATTATAAATAAATATATATATATATATTCTTGTTTATGTTTTTTTTATGTGATAGAAGAAAAATAAATGTATGAAAATAGTAGGAGTTTATTTACGTCAATTTAATAATAAGGAAATTCTTTTTTTTTTTATAAACATTCTCGATTGTATTTAAATACTATTGTCAATTATTTGTCTAGCAAATACTCGATAATCAAGTGTCATTGATAGAAATTTAGCTGTTAGTTTTCATTCGTGTATTCGAATCATTATATGTTTTTGCTTCAATAGTTTGACTTTATTCATATTTTCAGAGAAAATCAATATTTGCATTTGTTTTATCGATTGTAAAGAAAAAATCTATTTTTACATATGACAAATTTAATTTAAAAAAACATATTATATTACCGAAAGTAAATTAACATAAGACTATTTCTTTGTAATTGAAGGGGAAAAAAAGTATAATCGGACAGAGGATTGAACGTTTATAAGAATGCATATTTTCTTCTAATTAGACGCACGCAATATTATTTCTATTGTTATATGTCGAAATCAATTTAAATACTTGAATATACATACATTCTTGCGATATACAGAATGATTATAAAATCATTAGTTTTGACAGTAGTTCGTCTTATTCATAGGTTAATGGATGTGTTAGTTGATGTATGTACATATATTAAATTGTTTTATATTCTGTTCCAAAAATCTAAAGTTTATTTTCTAGTTCAAAAAAATATTTCATCATTTATTCTAATTACTGAGTGCTACATCGTACCAATCAAAAACGATATCTCTAATGAAGTCTACGTATCCATGTCAGTTTTATTTCTACTTGTTATCTATTTCAAATAAAAAGAATATTCTTGATCATTTGCTATTAATTGGAGGATATGTAGGATGGGTTAATAGATATCTTTCTTTATCGCACGTGTCGGCGTACGATTATGGGTTGAGAAGTACGAATATATCTTCTCCAACCGTAATTGTATAAACTGAAAAAGCAAGAATAAGATAGATAACGCTAACTGCATATCTACAATAATCCGAAGACATCATTTAAATTTAACACTTCACATCTATTTATTATATTTATATTAATTGCGTTGTCGTTTTATTGTCACATTAGACACAATAATAACAAAGCAGGTAAAAATTAGCATTCGAAAAAAAAACGACAAAAAAGAATGGATAAAGTAAAAGGGTTATTGTTTTTTTTTGTATCATTCGTATTTTCTATCTTTTGTTGCTGTAATATTTCTTATTTTGCTTTTACATGATAAAATGAAAGAGACCAGATATGTAAAATAACAAAAAAAAATGCGAAATAATAATAATAATAATAATAATAATAGCACAAATATTTTTTTTTTCTGTAAACGGTGATCAAAATACAAGAAAAAAAGAGAGCATGAGTGAAAAAAAGTTGGAGAAAGAATGTCTGGTTTATTTTTAATTGAAAGTATTATTCTACTTGGATTTGGTTTTTTCGCTGATAATTGCAGCTAAATCAAGGTCTGATTTGCATGTTGCTTGTAAATGATTACGAATACCTTGGAGAGCATTTTTCAATGCATCTTTGCTTGATGCACATAACATTTTACGTTTAATTGTTGCAGTATCTGGCGCCCTATATATTACATACATTCAAATTATAATAAAATGTAAAATTAAAATTTTTACCATGCAATGAAATATATTTCTGCACGCGATCCTTCACTTGTTTCATAGAAAATATCGATTACAGCATATCGTACATCATTTTCTGGTAATTCTTCGAGCATTTCAGCCCATTTTTTATCTAATTATTTAATGAAAAAGAAAAATTATAAATTAAACAAAATGTCGTTTCTTTTTTTTTTTACTTTTTTCATTTGCTGGTGCATTTTGTGGGACTTTATTAACACCTTCTTTAAGTATAACAATTTTTGATATATCTTCACTGAAACCACAAACAAGATAACCAATATTCTTTTTTATTTTAAATTCATGAAATTTTTCAATAACTGAATTGTCAACTTTAACGCCAGATGCCTATTAAAAGAAGATTAAATAAATTTTGTTAGATTAATATATAGATAAATGATTTGCCTAACTAAAAAAAGGAATATTTTACTTCATTCAAAACTATCTAAACTTAGTTTTATTTATTCACCCACCAAATTATGCTACAAAAAGGTTTCTTAGTTTTTAGAGAGATTTTCTTTTGGTTGAAAAACAATGCACGTGTTTCTTACCATGATAATCTACGTAGTTTGTATGTCTGTCTTTGTCGAAGAAGGAAAAAGAAGAAGAAGAAGAAGAAAGTAGAACTGTACGATCGATGATGGTGCCCTATTTGGGATCGTCTCTATATGTTTTTTCTTCTTTTTTTTCTCTTTTCCTTTACAATATACACATCAAAACAATTCCATATACAGTGTTGATACTATATTATTTCCTCTTATGAATCATGAAAGGAGAGGAGGAGGAAAAAGAAGAGTACAATCGAGCATCTTCCTAGTTTCATCTTTCTTATTCTCGTATATAGCTATAATTATCTTCCGTCAGCAGTAACGGGCGTATATCTCACAAAACATAGCATATCTCATCGAAAAGTGCTTTCTTTCTCTCTTACTATTATTTAGATAGACATACAGACAACGAGAGAAAAATTGGAAGAAAATAGAAAGCGAATGAATGATAGGGTCACTTACCGAACCAGACATGATGTATACAGTGATGATTGTTAAGAGTAAATGTTGATATTGGTAAAAATTGGAGAACACAGTATGGATGTTTGTTCACAATAATCGGAAATAAATAAATAAATAGCAATGAGATACAATTAGAATATTATAAGAAGAAAAGACAACGTCGTCTTGTTTTTATACTCGACGAACGTATGACATTATAGAAATCGTAGGCGAATATTTTAAAAGAACATGGTTATTATTCATAATTTTTTCATTTTTCAATTTTTTCAATGTACAAAAAAGGGACCCCGTCTACAACGACGAAGAGGTGATTCGGTCATTTAAATGACCAAATAAGGAAAGACATGAATCACACGAGAAAAAAGAAAAAGAACGAATAAGGTAATAAGATAAAACAGATGTTTTCTTCACAATCTGAGATATTATATGACGAGTAGGACTACTAAATATGGTCATGTTCATAAGGAGATATTTCAAAACATGATGAAAAAGTATATTTTATAGAAATCCGATTCAAATCGAACGTAATATGCCCTCTGTTCTCTTATAATAATTGGTCTGAAGTTAACCAGTCACATATTGATTAGTCATTTTAAAATAAATGAGATGATGAGTATCATAAAGAGCTTATATTTATATTGATGAATTATTAAACAGAACGAAATAGATGAGCTTTGATAAACAAATTATTATTTTGTTTAATATAGATGTTAAAAGAAATGCCAATTGAAAACCAAATCGATTTATACGAGAACATCATATATACATAACATTGAAAGTAAAGTAGTATAGTATACACAAGCATATGAGATCAAGTTTATCAGAGCTAAAGGTAGAAAGTAGCGAATGATAGTTGATATTTAACTTTCCACTTATTTTATATCTAATATCAAATCTGAATAGATCATTGTTAGAGTTGACTAAATTCAGTAATAAAAAAGAAAAAATATTTTAAAGTAATCTAAATGCCATTCATACACAATCGGAAATTTATAATTTCTTAAACAATACATGTAAAGTAAGGCGCAAAAGTCTTTGACCTGTACATAAGTCAACTTTCTACAAGATAGGATGAAATCTACATATAGCTATGTAAATTACAAAATCCATCGATACTGACGCTTATAACAACACAATAATTCCAAATATCGTATTTAAGTGACGAAGCAGTTCTTAGACACTGTGTCGAGAAGCGAGAATCATTATATCTCGGTGAACTGGAGAGATTTTTGTGTGAGAAATTGAGCAAAATCGACCTGTCTATTCTAAATAATTTGATGAAGTTGATGAAAGCACGATGTTTCGCTTTGATTGACACGAAGGAAGAGAGAGAGAGGATCAACTATTAGTTGTGACATTTGTGTACCTTGTATCATATCTTATTCATCACTTTCATTCTGAAAAACACTTAGGATACTAAGGACAAAGAGATAAGAAAGATCAGCATTAGAACGTATTATTTTATCTCATTGAGTTTATGTGCAAAACGCATCAGTTCTTCTAGATGAAACCACTGTTATTATATCATTCAATTAAATCTTATTCTTCAGTATCAATGCGAGATCAATCTACCTTTAAAGAGATGATCTCATAGTTACATTTTTTATAAATTTAAATATTTTTTCGTTACCGATAATCCATCATAGAGAATAGTATTAGATGAAGATGTTATTTCTTTATACGAAAAGATTTACTTGTAACTATGAAGCACGATGATAAGAAATATGACTTATATTGTTAATATATCTTCCTTTCATTTATAAGATATCTGTTAAAATAATTATTTTATTCAACAACTTGCGTCATCTGTATTTGTTAACAAAATATCGATTGGTTTTGTTCAATTGTCAATCAAACTTATAATTTCAAATTGTAGAGATTTATTTAGTTGTTCTGTTCTGATAATCGAAATAAATGAGTAATTTTTTAAAATCTATTCAACCAGCACTTAATGAAATAGTTTATGATATAACTGGAGTAACTGTAAGATATTTTTTATAGAATAATTTTGAATATTATTATTAAATTCTTTAGCTTTCTGATAGATTTAATCCATATAAAAAATTATTTGAAGATACAATTATACATCGTTCAAATATAAATGTTGAAAAAAGTAAAGTCGAAAAAAATATTCAAGGGTATATAATATTTATTTAAAGAATATTTAAAATATTTTCTTATCTATTAGATTAAAAGAAAAATATATAATTCATGCACAAGATAAAAAAGCTGATCTATTACAA